GTTTGTTACAGCTCCTTGCCTGTCTCTACTAACTGAAGGATCTTATAGCTCAGGTGTGGCAGCTGACCTGAAAGGCAGTGGGGAAGATTCCTGGGGCAAAGGAGCATTTGGAAAGCACTGTCTGTGATGCTAATGGAAAGTGAGGGGGGATCCACTCCTTATCCTACACTTCTAGAATTCCTCAAGGGGTCTTTGAAAATAAAAACAAACAAGAATTCTGCACAGAACCTTCGTTTGTGCCAGTGACAGAGGCTCCACTGGAACAGAGCCCCCCTGGGAGTGGGCAGTAGCCCCAATTCCCCCCACTTCATCAAATGGTGATTTTGAATAGAGATGAATTTGCAATTTGCTTCCCTGACCTGAGACAGATGGTTAAGATGCCAAAATCTTACATTATTTATGAGGCTGTGCGGTGTTGGGGAAAGGACTGGCCGGGTGGTTCCAGGTCTGTGTCACAAGGGCAGGTCACGCTGCCTTTCCCAGCTTGTGTCCTGGTTTGTAAAGTGAAGGGTTGGGGGGGGGCGGGGGCGGGATGTGTGGAACAGACAATTTTTTGAGGTGTCTTCTGGGACTAATAGCTGAGCATTCAGCATCTGCATGCCTGAAGGACGGAGAATAGATGCATTTTGAAAATGAAAGGAAAACAGCAAGATGAGCATAGACCAGTGATGTAGCGTGTGTTCCGTGATCGAAATCTCCAGGCTGTCTCTCTCCCCGCCCTGAGGCTGAGAAACAGGCCAGCCGACGCAGCAGTAAGAGATCCAGAAAGCCTGCCTTTCAGCTCCTGGGGGACAGCACGGCAGAAACCGGGGAGGGGGGGGCGGGTTGCTATAGGAGAAAGAAGGCTGGAGCCAAACACTGAGCTGCCGTGTCTGTGACCCAGACTGGCCATCGCTGTGGAAGGCCAAACCAGGGAGGCCTGGCCCAGGGCCAGAGCTGTCACCGTCTGGGCATCTGAGCCCAGGGAGCCCCCGAGGTCAGCTGTCTCCCCAGAGTGGAGAGCGGCCAATTCGCACTATCTCAGCTGCCAGTTGCCGCCAAGTCACAGCAAAGCCTACAAGGTACCAAAGACAGTCCGTGTCGCCCACGTCCACTCCTCTGACTGGAGCTGAGGCCGGGAGGTGCCCTGGCACACGGGACTTGCCAGCAGCAAACCGTGGCAGGGGGGTTTTAACCTTTGGTGGACCATCTGGTGAAGCCGATGGGCTCCTTCTCAGAATAACACATTTAAATGCATAAAATAGGATTACAGAGGAAACCAATTCTACTGAAATGCAATTATCCAAATATTTAAAAACAACTTTGTGAGGGAGTAATATATGTGCTTCTTTAGTAATGCATTCCACAGCAAGATTTAGTGGCAGATCTAATAACTGTTCTCATTTCAGCCTAGTGAGGAGTGTGAGCAATCGTTAGAGATATCGGCAACAACTCTGATGTGCTGTAAAGATAGCTGTGGTTTCTACTGGTGACAGTCACAGGGACTGCTGACGCGACTATGGTTTGTTGCCTACGTTCATAAATGGAAGGAAGTGCTTGATTTCAGAGGTTAGTAAAACTGAAGATGGAATTTTTTTTTTTCCCATGCGAGTTCCTGGACCCTTGAATGTTACGCACAGACCCCTTTGCCTGGTAGAGGGTGGCTGCTGGGGGACGGGAGTGCGCTGGGGACACAGACAGGGCTGTGGAGCCGTTCTTGTCTCATCTGTCAGCAGGGCAGGTAGGACTAGATCTGGGGTTGGCTAATTGGTGCAAAGTGCTGCCTCCCCACCCCCCTGCCCGTGGTAAGCATCACTAATTGATCGTGGCTCGGCTCCCCACAGAGCCCAGAGATGGGCAGACTGCTTCTCAGCCCACTGCTTCAGGCAGCCACCGCTAAACGATCGGAGCTGGCACCAAAATGAAACCGATTTGCCATTCCAGGGCTGGAAGCTCTCTAAGGCCCATTTCTGGCCTGACATGATATGATTACCCATGATTAAAATATGGTCCCTGCCCTCAAGGAACTTCTGAACCGGTGAGCATCTTAAAGGTCGGTGCGGAGCGAGGGAAGGAGGGGGGCATCCCTACACAGCTCCTCACCAGGCATTCAGTCATTTCACAGTCAGGGCATCGATTTTACTTTTCGACTTGTAATTTCCACCTCCTGGATTCCATTATCACTCGCTCAATATCCGACGACTCGCCATTTCTCTGGCCACCGCTCTGAGACTCATGCATTGCTGAGCATAAGCAGAAGACATTGCCTAAAACGCATTACTACCTGGAAGTAATGATTGGGTTTTACACAGCCAAGACCTTGATGGTTCTGTATATAAGCAATCATTCCACCTTCCTCTTTCCCAGTCATGTGGATTCCCCAGAAGGAACCCAGAATTAACCCTCTGTGCTCAAGCCCCAAACCCGGGACACCCCAGCCTCTCTCATCCAAGCTCCTTCCCTTGATGTGTGAAATACCCCGCAGCTGGAGGTGCTGCCCCTGTCTTGGGCTTCAGATATGCTGCCATTAACAGATCCTTTGGAAAACACCCAGATCTGTCCATCCGTAGCTGCTGGACGCGTTTCCTTATTAACGCAATGGGGGGGGGTGTATACCGGAAGTGTGAAGGTTTTAGGCCAATGGTTCTCCAAGTGTGGACCCCAGCCCTGAAGGATCACCAACAGCTGGAAGCTTGTTAGCAAAGTGAATTCCCTTCCGGGATACTGATTTCATTTCCTTATGATGATTGTGGTGATATTTCACAAAGTCTACGTACATCAAAACATCAGGTGTGACACCTGAAATATGTACACTTTTAAAACTTGTCAGTTATACCTCCATAAGGATGGGGGAGGAAAAGAAAAAAGAAACAGCTAATTCTTGGCCCCAGGCGAGACCCACTAAATCAGAAACTCTGGGGATGGGGCCAGCCCCTGAGGCTCTCCAGGAAATTCTGATGCACTAAAGATGGAGAACCCTTGGAATGAGAGCCAACTCCATCACACCTGGACCTACATGTTCACCTTTCAGGCCTCAGTTGATTCCTCTGTAAAATGGGAGCAAGAATGCTCGCTTTTCGCGCCTCACAAGAGGATGACTCAGTGCATGTGAGAACCGTTTGCAAAGCCCAGGCAAAGCCCAGGCAAGGCTGCACCAGCTATTGTTACTATTAGGCACTTTGTTGCGGGATTTGGGGGGTGGGGTGGGGGAGGGTCAGGGGAGATTTCATTTTAAGCTCTGGGACTTGAACTCCACCCCAGATGGAGGAACATGGGGATCATTGTTTTCCACAG